TCAGATGTGCCCAGGGTGTGCTGGGACAGCCAGGTTTTAAAACATTCAAGTTTTTCCACTTCCAGGCCTTTCCCTTGCAGTAAAGACCGAGTTAGATCAGAAACACTCAAATTTACAACAAGAAAAAATAAAAAGAAAGCAAGAGAAAGGAGCCCCGATGAGCATTGCAGCACTCCACTCCCTGCCATTCCCACAGGCCCAGCTGCTGCTCTCTCTTCTCCTCCCAGCTGGAGCCCATGCCTCTTCCGATACCCAGGAAAACATTTTGTTCTGCGTTAAAGGCTAAAGCTAACACATGACCAGCAAGAGGCAGCAGTTTGTTTAGCTCTTGGAGTTTATTTTAATTGCGGCCTTGTTTTGTAATGAGGACGGCTGCAGCAGGGGGAGCCTGCTGGGATCCGGGGGGCTGTTCCAGAGGAGTTTCCTTATCAATAAAAAGAAGTCTCAACTATTTAAATTAACAACAACTGCATGGCATGCATGCTCAGCTGCTTTGTTTTCTGGGAAGTTAAACTGTACACATTTGTTTATTAAGGATTTCAGCAGCTGGCTGGGATCACATGTCCCCTCCAAGTGCCACCTTTCCCATCCCCAACCTTCACCAGGGAGGAATGAAGACGAGAGAAACAGGCCCCATGTTCATGCTGCCAGATACAAAACAGCCTGGTAAACCTTAGCAGTTTGTTATGATGATGCATGAAAAAAAAGGAGGAAAAAAAGTAAAATCATGTGATTTTTATGCAAATCAGATGAATTGGACGGTTTAAAAAAACCTTAAATGTCAGGTAGATAAGATCACATACACCTAGAGCAGTGTCATGATGTTCTCTGTACATTACATTCATACTGGAAACCAAAACGTGTTACAGAAATCAGACACCCACAAAAAGCTCTGAGATTGCACTGAGAACAGGTTCTTGCAAAGCACCGGCCTCTGACCAAAAAAAAAAAAAANGAAAAAAAAAAAAAAAAAAAAAAAAAAAAAAAGAGAGAAGTAAAAGAAAAAAAGTAGGTTAGATTAGAAAACAAGATAGCTGAATTCAGGCAGGGACTCTGCTGTCCCTGCGCAGCCTGGCCTCGCTGCAGTCACATTAATATGCACAAAACTCCTTTAAAGTAACATTCATGCGGTGGCACCCAGCTCCAAAACGGGCAGGCTGCTTCCAAAACTCATCCTCGAGGACCACGGGGAAGGGGAGAGGTTCACAGGCTCTCTTCTCTCAGGCTAAACTTTTCTCTCTTAGACACATTTTTATTTTCCCTTTATAGGTCCTAGCAGCTATTTTTGTGTGAGGATGGGGAAGCCTTATGGCCTGAAGGAGTTAATTTCTAAAGAAAAAATTATAGTGGGGTACTGTTTATTTAAGCAGTGTTTTGTAGAAGACAAGGCATTTCTTTCCAGGGGTGCGGTTCACCTGGGAAAAATACGCCCTGGCCTCGATATACCATAAAAACCTGCTCTGTGTCCCTGGGGGGAAACGACCCAAGCTCGGGGACTCCCCTTGCTGCCAAGTAGCACCTCCAGCTCCCAGGCCCTTCAACACCCAACTGCAGCTCCCAGGGATGGCTGAATAATTTCACACTGCTCTGTGCACTGCACACCCGCACACAGGCAGAGGGGTTGTTTTTCATCCCAGGAGCTTTGCCAGGGGAGGACACGAAGAAGCTGCAGAGGGACAGTCCGTGGGAGGGTGCGAGGCACCTGTGGCAATGCCCAGCACTGCTCCTGCCTCTGCTCCTGCTCCTTGGAGCCACTCCTGCATGGCCAGAAATACCCCTGCCAACTCCAAGGGGGACCATTTCCCAGCAGCATCACCCCTGTTCCAGCAATGCCACCACTTTCAGGGGTGGAATTGGGGGTTCAAACCCTTGCCTGGGTGAGGAGCTCTCTGCAGTGTAGAGGGTGTTTTTGAGAGAGGGGTGTGTGGGGCTGACCCCCTAGCAGGATTGCCACAGCCTCGCACACGCAGGGCCGAGCTGCTGCTCCTCCACGTGCGGCACAGGCACCTCGTGGGTGTGCAGGAGCCACGCTGAGCTGGGGCTGCTGAGAAACGTCCCGCAGCCGACATGGGACTGCTGGTGGCTTTGCACACTCCCACCCGCAGCCCTCCCCAGCATGGGGCCGCCGTTCTCCCCCAAAGAGAAAACACTTGCTGTCGGCTTGTGGAGGCAGGGGAAGCTGTCCCAGCGGGACATTGCCGCCCTGGCAGCCACCACCACTGCCAGCGGCGGCCGTGCTCGTCCCCAGAACTGGGACACGCAAATGAAGAGGGTGTCAAGGCCTCACTCAGCAAGGATCCCTCTGGCCAATGGTGGGAGATGGCTCCCAGGAAAATGACTCCATCCCCAGCACCCTGAAGTCCCCAGAGAGGCAGCACAGGGACCGCTGCTGCTTTTGGGGCAGCAGGAAGCAGTGGAGAGCAGAGGCGGGTGGCAAGAGCCCGTGGGTAGCTGCAGCCGGGCCCTGAGTGACAGCGAGGGAGTAGAAGGTATGACACCAGAGCAGTAAGGCCAAAAACTCGGCAAAGGCGCCCAGGCCACTCAGTTCCCAGTCTGAAAGGGATGCTGCTGGTTGCTCCCTATGTCCTCGCAACGAGGTGGGTTAGGATGGAAACTCTGATGCAAGCCCGGCTTGGCTGTGGCCAGGCAGAGTGAGAAATCTCCCCCGTCGGAGTGCTACTTGAACGGAAGCTGGGCTCGACCTCGGGCCCCCACCAGAAATCCCCCAAGCGGCAGCCCTCTCGCTGCTGCTCCCGAGCGTCCCGCGGCCGCTGGGCTCGCCGGGCTCCGGCTAAAGCGAAAGCGTCACACGCTGCACAGAAATGACAAACAGAACAGATCCGTCGCCTCCAACACCACCCCTTCCTTTGGGTTTCATGGCTGGGGAAAAAGAATAAAAAAAAAAAAAAAACAAACAAAAAAAGACCCAAAATCCCGGAACAGAGTGGCTACTCTCGGGTCCGATCCTCCTTGGGTCACCTGCAGACCCGGGAGCTCCCTCCCTGCCCGGGGCCGGGATCGGAGTCGCACAAGTCACACAGCTCCAGCTGCACTCACTCCCTGGGAATCCCGTATTGCATTTTAACTACAGGGAAGCCGTCTCTCCAGCAGATCTGTACCACCTCAAGTGCCTCGGGAGTACCATCCCCGTCTTGCCACCGGGCTATTTTTAATGACGACTCATATAAGCAGAAGGGCTTTCTTCCTAATTTATTACACCCCCCCCCCCCCCCAATCTCCTTGCTTTAAAATGTCTCGGTTCAAGAGCTCAGCTGAGAAATCAAAATAAAGGCAGCACCCGGGCACTTTGCGTCCACGGCGGCCGCTCCGCGGGCTCGCCAGTGCTGGAATCAGTAGCTCCGAGCAACTGCACCAGTGGACCGAGGGCACCGTGACCTGCGGTGGTTATTCTCGTGAACAAATTTCTATTAATCACCAGGGCCCGGGAATGCCTTCACAGCGCAGAGCGTGCCTTCCCCCGCTCCCCACCACCCCGAGCGGCAGCTCGCAGCCCAAAAACCCGACCGGGAAAGCAAAATGAGCGATCTGAACCACCCCGAAACCCAAGCCCTGCTGCAGGCCCCCAAGGAATAAACACGGCAGGCTGGGGGACAGCCACAGGAATCTCCATAGATTTACATCCACGGAGCTGCATCTCCACAGGGGAGAGGGGAGGTTGGGGTGACAGGTCCCCTCCCCTGCACCCCCTGCGAAACCCACCCGAGACACTGATTGCAAGGCTTTGCATTACTCCCCCCTCCCAGCTCCCAGCAAAGGCCTTTGCCCAGCAGACGCAAAAAGTGCAGAAATAAAATCCCTCTCCAGAAAAGCCAAAGCGATTTCGCATCCCCAGCACAGTACAACAATTCCATACAAACAGAATATTTATAGACTTACAGGTTATTTTGCAACAATAACAAAACAGCTACACAGAATTAACCCACCACTTGAGTGTCCTGGAAAGGAAAAGAGAACACGGATGGAAAAAAAAAATAAAAGAAGAAAAAAATAATCAAAATTGTTTTGTTTTTTTTGTTTTGTTTTGTTTTTAGTCTGGAGAATTCTGGCGAAGAAATAAAAAATTAAAAAAAAATTAAAAATATAACCAAAAGTGAATATGGGGAGTTCATGGGCAACTGTCTTTAAGGAAAAAGCTTCTTTCCCCAACAGTAAATCCCACTGGAGGCCGTGAGCCGAGTGTGGCTGTTTGCAAAAAAATTCTTTTAAAAAGAAGCTGAATGAGGGGAAAAAAAATTAAAAGAAAAAAAGTAAAAATCCAGAACAATGCAGCTGGCTCCTGGCTTTGCTCGCTGGGTTGCTTGGTTGGTTTGGGGTATTTTTTAGAGGGGGAGGGTGTTTTAGAAACGCGAAAGTGACCCCCCTCCCCAAAATAAAGAACAAAAAAAATAAAGATAAATTATAATTAAAAGTACATACATATATATATATATATATGTATATATATATAAAAAATAAAAGGCGCGATTTTTTTTCCAAGATCTCTTCGTTTTCGGAGAGGTTTGGGAGAAAAATTAAAAAAAAAAAAGCAAAAAAAAAAAATCAAACAAAAAAACCCAACCCCAGAAGCGGAGGCCGGCGGCGGCAGGGGGGTGTGATGTGTGTTTGCACCGCCCGGAGCTGTGCCCGGGACCCCCCGTTTTCCTCTCCCGCCGCCGCCGCCGCTGCTCGCCCCGCGCCGCGCGCGCTGCTCCGCGCCCGCGCGCCCCCCACGTCACCGACAGCACCCGCCGCCACGTGACCCGCCGGCCGGGCGCGACCACTGCTGGAAGGGGGGAACGGGGAGGGGGACGAACGGGGGGCCACACCGTGAGACCCCCGCCGCCGCCGCGGCCCCCCCGGGACAGGCGCCCCCCCCTCGCCCACCCTGCCGGCGGCCCTCTCGGGGGGCCGCGCTCACCGGGAGGGGCGCGGCGTCGGGGAAGGCGCGGAGGGGGGAGGTCCGTGTCCCTCCCCATGCCGAGCGCGATGGTAGAGTCCGCAGCTCAAATTCCGAGAATTGGGCTCTGTTGATTCTTAGAACTGGGGTTCTTAGAAGTGGTGATGCAAGGAGTTTCTAGGAAAGCCCGGAGACCAGGTGATTGCTGCTTCTATTGCCGCGGCCGATTTTACCCTTTAATTCTCTCGCTCGCTTTTTTTTTTTTTTTTTTTTTTTTTTTTTTTTTTTTTTTTTTTTTTTTTTTTTTTTTTTTTTTTTTTTTTTTTTTTCCTCTTTCCCTCCCTGCCCCGCTCCGACGCTTGGCGCGGAGCCGCCTCTATATATTTCTACCCATTTTTTTTTCCTCTCCCTTCTCATTCCTTCCCCCCCACCTCCCCTCTTTCCCGCTGCAGGTGCCCTTTATTTTTTTTTTAATACTATTATATTATAACCTCAATTTAATTTTTTCCCCTGCCTTATTTATTTATTTATTTCACATATACATCCCCCCCTTTCCCCTTGCCCGCTGTCAGGCGAGAAAAAAAAAAAATGGAAATAGGGGTGCCTGCATGTCTTTAACGTTGGGAGCGTGTATAAGGGGAGGGGAGCGGGGTGGGTGGGAGTGTCTCCCCTCGCCGTCCTCTCCCGGGGATTATCGGTTATCTGGGATTATTGGTTTTCCCGCACGCGTGACGGCCGGGTGGGGACGGGGGGGACGGCGGCGGCTCCTCTCTGCACCTGCAGCCGCTCCGCGGGCGCAGGACGGCGGCGAGCGCTGGCTGCCGCCGGGCTTGTGGCGTGACTCGGGGTCCGCTCTCAATGGCTGGATCATTCGGTCGGGGTGTGTTATTTTTCTTTGCCCTTTTTTTTTTTTTTTTATTTTTTTTTTTTTTTTTTTTTTTTTTTTTTTTTTTTTTTTTTTTTTTTTTTTTTTTTTTTTTTTTTTTTTT